TCCTGCTGAAGAGCTAGCCAGTGTGGGAGCAGAAGACTCCGAAGGCATCCTTCACACACAGGGACCAAAGTGTGGCAAGCTGAGGCCAGGAATATAACTATAGTTGCTCAATATTCAAAAATGAATCAATATGAACCCCCATGTGGAGGACAACGACCAATCACATACATATTTGCCGCAAAATATTGGACAGAATTCAGCTCCCTGAATAATACAACTGCCAGAAACTAGAGGAATACAAAATGCCGTTAATATGGTAAGGGGCATCTCCAGAATCCATAGCTGACTCCACACTTCTGAAAATACTAGCACTTTCTAAGATCAAGACAGGACAAGGATGCACGGTTCCACCACTCCGGTGAGCACGGCATCACTGGCCCTGGGCAGTGCGGACAGCCAAGCAGGAAAACACAAAGGACACACAGCTCGGAAAGGAGGAAAAGAAAGCATTGTTTCCGAACGGCTAGGACTGGTGAACTTGGAGAATTCTAAGCAACTTGAAAAGTTGGCTAGGACAGGCGAGTTCAGCAAGGATCAGGGCACAGAGACATCCCAGAAATGAACACAGCCTCTCTCGCCAGGATCAGCAATGGGCAGGCAGGAAGCAGCATTTGCACCAACCATGCCACTTAATAGCAGGGGCCGTGCCCAGAGGAAGGCTCTGCTTCCGGTCCCAGGTGTGGAGAGGAGAAGCAGTCGCTGGGGCAGGCGTCCCGAGGCCTGAGTACACTGCCTGCTGCTCTGTTTACCGACGGGAGCTCTCCATCAAGCCAGACGCCACACCTGCCCCGACGGACCTGCAGCTTTCAAGCAATTTCAACAAAAATACCAGCTGGATTTACTCTTTTGTAGACACAACCGGATCCAAAGCCATCTCTAGAAAACCAAAGATATGAGAAGAGCTAGCTAAAACGACTTTTAGGGAGAAGAATCAATTTGAGTTGGCAGGGCCTGGAGAAGGGACGGATGTCTGAATTAAAGAGGGTGGAGGGTGCGGACAGACAGAGCAGGGAGCCCACAGGGGCCTTGCTGAGAGAGCGAAAGGGGAAGCATGTTCAGCAGGCAGCGCTGGGACAACTGGGTATCCATCAGCCAAGACGCTGGCTTCACACTTCACACCAGACTTAGCTCTCAAAGTACCACAAACTGAGATGCAAAACAAAAGCTGTACAATTTTCAGAAGGAAAAAAAAAATAGAGGTATCTGAACTGTTGTGCAAATAATTCCAAAGTTAGGATTCATAAGAGAAGGCCACCAGACTCCGTTAAAACGACAAAGACTCGCTTGGCGCGAGACCGCAGGGAGAGGACGGGACGGCCGGGGGCAGGCTTGGAGGGGGCAGCTGTGTGTCGCAGCCAGGAGAGGCGCCGCCCAGCTGACAACAGTGCTGGGTGACACCCTGCTTTGTAGTGGTGGTGCCACGGGATGGGCCTCCCACCCACCCATCAACTGTAAACCACCGGAGCCAACTCGCCACATGCCAAGCTTTAAGATAAAACATTTGCGACTTGTTGTAGTGGCCAAGCGAGACCTGGCCCGCAGGTGTCACACAATAGCCAATCATACAAAGGACAGGCAGAAGCCCAGGCCTGCTGTCGTTTACGACAAACCAACATGCATCCCTATGTTCATAGCAGCACAATCAGTAATTGCAAAAACATGGAAGCAACCGAAATGCCCATCAGCAGAAGATTGGATAAGAAAGCTTTGGTTCATCTACTCCATGGAATACTACTCAGCTATTAAAAAAAACAAAATGCAGTTCTTTGTGGCTAAATGGGCACAACTGGAAACTATAATGCTAAGGGAAATGAGTGAATCCCAAAAGATTAGATACCACATGTTTGCCTTGATTTAACCTGTAATTTTTGTATGGTTGTTTGTTATTTTTTGAACCTGTCATTGATACTGTCTCAACCCAGATGTTTCGAAGAATGGAACTTGCATTATTTTTAACATATTGTTTACCCAATACTATGTCAATTAATTCCATAATGTTGTATATTGATACTGAGGCCTTGTTGGGGCTTTTAACTGACCGGATCTTTACTCTGTTAGACCTATCTTCAGACCATAGAAGGTCTCCCCAAGAGGCCACTGAACTTATCTGGACAATAAGATGCTGAACTTTATGCTAGGCATGTGTTTGCAAGGAATGAATCTCAACTGAACTTGAACTATGGTTATGCAACAAGGTGGAGGAATCCACCATGGGGGGAGGGGTATGGGAGGGGTGGGGGGAATCCCCAGCGCCTATAAAACTGTACTACATAATACAATGTAAGCAACAATAAAAAAAAAAAAAAAAGTAAACTCAAAAAAAAAAAACAAAGGACAGGCAGAAGCCCAGGCCTGCTGTCGCCTCAACACTGCAGGAAGACTCCCTGTGGCTTCCTCACCCCGCTCTGCCCCAGCCTGCCCGCATCAGGCTTTGGGACTGACAGTGGGCAGAGCTGCACCCCTGGCTCTTGTCTCGGCAGCTCTGCCAGCTTCTGTCCTGGTGACTTAATGGCGTCTGGGAGTCCGACGGGAGGCCGTGTCTGTGTGCCCCTGATGGGAAGCCGTGTCTCAGCCCCTAGGACTGAGGCCCTGCTCAGTCCAGCTCACACGTGTCCAGGGTGCCCTTGGGGCTTGGAGATGGTGGTGCAGGAGGCCCCGGCCGAGCCTGCTCTGAGCTAGAGTGAAAGGGTTGAGGTTACCAAAGGACCTGCTGGGGGAGAGACTGAGCTGCACCCCGATGCACATGGATGAGTCGGGACTTGCAGCTCGGGAGCCAGGCTCAGGTGCCAGTGGACAGAGAACCAGAAAGACAGGACGAGAGAAAGGCCCTGTCTCCTCTTTCCAGGCCTGCTAACCAGGTTCCTGCCAGACACTGGCCAGGGTGGACGGCAGCCAGCTGGGCGTGGTCAGGTATTACAACCACACTGACTCTGTGAGGACACACACAGATGGGCCTGGGAGGGGGCTGGGCAGAGTGCCCGTCAGGGGCAGCTGGTCTCCCGACCGGGCCCAGCGCTCCTCCTTCAACCCCCACTAATGAAGTGGCCTTGTGCTCCAGTACCTTGTACGAAGCCCGAGTTAGAGAGTAAGTCAGCACGGAATAATATTTTTGCTAAATTTCTGCTCTCAGGCTCACAGCATTGCATCAGCTCGCGAGTGGGCCTCGGGGATTGCCACGGCGCATCTTGATGTGGGTTCATGCCAATTACCAGGCTGAGTGATGAAATGGCCTTGTAGCGCCTCGCCAGTGCACGGAAACACAGAAACAGTAGGTGAATGCTATAGTTTATGATTTTCAATTATAAATCAAATAGACTGAGTTCTCACTTAATAAAGGATGTAAAAGCACTGAAGGGTAGACGGGCTTCTGCTGGGGAAAGAGGAAACAAGCGGGGCTGGTGAGCCAGCGCTCGGGTGGTGTTCTGCCGCCGCCCTGTGCACGCAGGGCTGGGGAGAAGCCGGCAGATGGAGGGCCCTGCGTGCGGCCCCTGCAGCCGGGGGAGGGGGAGCGGGGCAGGGGGCCTGGGAGAGGAGTCGTCTTCAGGGACTGGGTCCTCTGGGGACAGAGTCTCTGCAAGACCAGGATGTGAAGTGCTGCCTCTGGCCTGCTGTGGTCCAGCTTGGTGATGGGAGACCTGGGAAGAGAGCCAGTGCCAGCGCTGATCATCCGGACAGCGCCAGGGATTGCCTGGGGACCTTGGCCTCTACTCAATGGCCAAGCAACCCTGGCATCCGCACTCCCAGCTCGCTGCATCTACAGGTCGTGTCAGCAACTGTCTGGACACAAAGCACGGGTACCGAGCGACTGGCCTTGGGACACCTCATCAGGACGCAGTATGGTTCGTGTGGGTGAACGATGTGGGGGTGGCACTGTGGCATAGTGGGCTCAGCTGCCATCTACAGAGCTGGCATCCTGTATGGGCACCGGTTTGAGCCCCTGCTGCTCCACTTCTGGTCCAGCTCCCTGCTAGTGCACCTGGGAGACCAGGGGACAATGGCTTCGATGCTTGGGCCCCCGCATCCACCTGGGAGACTCTGATGAAACTCGTGGCTCTCGCCTGGTCTAGCCCTGGCCAGTGTGGCCATTTGGGGAGTGATTCTGTGGATGGAAGCTCTCCTTCTGTAGAGAGGTAACATCTGAAGAGAACAGAAGGATGGGGAGAGGGGAGAGGCGGTGGATGGAGGTGGGAGCCAGCAGGCAGCAGGAGGACGTGGACTCGGACAGCACTGCAGATGTGTGCTAAGGCGCCTGGGGCAGAGAGCCCGTCTGAGCTGGCAGGGAGCACGCGCCGGGCAGCTCCGGGGTGACTCCTGGGGGGAGGGCTCGCACAGGAGTCGGAGGTCAGGCCGAACCGGAGCCGGGCCCAGTCGATCTCTGCGACTGCCCCGTTCATCTGGCAAGTCCTCGTTACGTCCAGCAGCTGACGGAAGAGGGCAAAGATCCTCTTCTGCCACTGTGGGACATTTACGAGAGGCCGCTCGTGTTTGCAAGTGACACACTGCTGAGGCCACGCGGGATGCAGCCTGGGAGCTCCGACCGCTCTCCGTTCCATTCCGTTCCATTCGGTTCAACACGCGAAGGTGCGTCTTCGCCTTCCTGGGGGGTCGGTCCGGTCTCAGGTGGAGCCTGCTCAGCACAGTGAGATGACAGTGAATTGACACATCAGAGAAATGTGTGAACGGCGGACAAAGCACCACGAGGGCACAGAGGGAAGAGTCCCCCCCGCAGTGGACAGCGAATCCTGGAGGGCTCCAACTTCTCTCACGCTGCGGCCCCGGGACTGTGGGCCACCCCGGCTGAGGCTTCGGAGCCACTGTGGGGCTGCGCAGAGGTATGGCAGGGACCTGGGGACTTCCCAGTGGAGCCGAGTCCCTCCTGAACAGGGTCTGAGGAGGGGGCAGTGAGGGCACTTGAATGGGGTTTCCCCAGGGCAGCGGGGGTCACTGGAGCAGGGACACCCCCACTTTTTTGTCACCTGAGTTCATGGTGGCTGTACCTGCTACGAGGACCGGGGCAGCGACAGAGGCAGTCGCATGGACAGGCTGCCCTGGCTTGGAGCTGGGGACATCAGAGAAGGTCACGCACTCAGGGGCCAGCCTCTGGAGCCCAGGGCCGCATGGGGTGAATCGTGTCCCCAGTGTTTGTGAGTCGCAGCCTCAGTCGCTCACTGTCCTGGGATGAGGTCTGATTTGGAAAGCAGAGAATGTGGCAGGAACGGTGTGAGACAAGGTCGTCATGGGAAGGCAGTGGGCATATGCGCCTGCGTCAGGAGGACACCTAGTGAAGATGAAGGCAGAGTGGTGCACCTGCCAGCCGAAGGACGTTAAAGGTTCCTGGACACCTGCCAGGAGCGGGGGACAAGGCAGGGGAGTGTGTCCCCTCACCACACACACAGCCTGGGAAGGACCGGCCCTGAGGGCACCCTGACTTTGGGCCTCTCCTGCAAGGACTGTCCTTTGCTGGGGCTTGGGTCACATGGTTCGTGACAGCGAGAAGGAATGGTGCTGGGCTGACCAGCGTGAGCCCTGGCCTCACCCACCAAGGAATGGTGAGTGCCACCCTGGGGCTGTGGGCTGGACACAATGCTTCAGAAATAATTGCACAGCCACACCCACGGTGCTTAGTGATGGGGCCAACGGGAGCCCATCAGGGTGGAGACCTAATGACCGAGCCAAGTGTCCTGCTACAGACAGGCCTGGGGGGTGGCCCGGCACCCAGCAAGGAGGCGAGCTGAAGTGAGTCCTCACCACGCCTCATCTCAGACCCCAGCACTCGGAGCCAGGAGAAACCATCCAACTGGTGGTCGGGTGCCCAAGGGAGGTGGGTATGCTGCTCCCGGCAAGCCCGCGGGCAGCAGGGGAAGTGGCTGCTCCCCGGGCTGAGGACACCAGCGAGCCAGAAGAGCCCCCTGCGAGTCCTTGAGCTAACGTGTCCTCGGAGCCACGCACTTGGGGCCCAGTAAGAGCAGCCGTGGGTTCAGGTCAGGAGAGGCTTCACTCTGATGGAAAGGGCAGGTGGCCTGGTGGCAGGACCAAGGCTGTGACCAGAAGCCTGCACCTGCCTCTGAGTGCAGGTGGGCAGGGCGAAACAAGCCAGGAAGTATAGGATTCAGGTCAGCAGGTACGCACGTGAGCAGGTGACAGCATCAGCGGCCCACTTGTCAGGTCTCTCGTCGGATTCTAGTGAGGACCCCTGCTGCGGGGTCGCGTCCAGGCTCAGCTCCTTCAACTCCTCCACGTGGGAGGAGAGTGCAGGCCCTGGAACACGGGACCAAGGGACAGGAGGGACCCAGCTGCCGTAAGGGTGATGGCCGTGGTCAGAGAGGAGCAGCAGGAGAGAGCTTCTTGCCTGGGGCTTGTCCAGCGAGTCCAGTGGCTTCCAGGCCCGGGGACTCAGCCCGGCATGGCGACCTGTCCCTGTGGCACGAAGTGGCCAGAACGTCTAAGCCATTTGTTTTCTGAGCTTGGACAGAAGTGGGTTTCTGTATTCAGTGTGGCTGTCGGCCGCACGCTCAATGTCTCCACACCCCACGGACAGGACTGGGGACACTGGCCAGGCCACTGCTACGTCCCTCCTTGGCCCCGGCTTGCACTTCCTAAGGCCGCTTCTCTCCAGCCAGCCCTGGTTTGGCTGAAGGCCTCCCAGTGTCTCCCTCTGCTCTGCCCTCGCACCCGCACCGGGCTCCTAGCCGCAGCAGCAGGCCGCAGCGGGGTTTGGAGGGGAACTGGGCAGTAACGGAGGGATGTTGGAAAGCATCGGGCTGGGGCTCCACAGCCTCGGCTGGTTGTAGGGAGACCCGCTCTGTCCTCGCTCAATGTGTCTGTGACCAGGAGCCTGTGCTGCGGAAGGTCTGGGTGTCTGAGGTCAGGGCCGCGAGCCCGTAGCTGCCTGGCCCTGCCTGGCACTGCCTGGTGTTTCCTGGCCCTGCCTGGCACTGCCTGGTGTTTCCTGGCCCTGCCTGGCCCTGGGGAGCCCTGCTGGGTGCTGAGCTGCTGGCTTCCCTGGGGCTGGGGGAGTGGAGGTACTTTGGGGAGGGGAGTGCTGGCCTCTGTCCTACATGGCGTCTCCCAGGGAAGGACACCTCAGAACCCTTACGGGCGGGGACTGCGGTATACCTGGGGTTTGCACTGCTTTGCTGCAAGGCCTTCCTGTAGCTGTGCCCAGGTATGTGTGACCAAAGGGGGAACCTGTGCCTTGAGCCTCCCAGGTGTGAAGGAAAAATCGCTCCAATCAGCAAGGCTGCTGGGGGGACTGACTCACGCGTGAAACAAAGGGCCAGGAGAGGACACACGGGCTCACACACAGGGAACAGACCAGGGTCACAGGACACACTCCCTCACACACACCATGTCACACTGTACACTCACACACACCATGTCACACTGTACACTCACACACACCATGTCACACTATACACTCACACACACACCATGTCACACTGTACACTCACACACACCATGTCACACTGTACACTCACACACACCATGTCACACTGTACACTCACACACACACCATGTCACACTGTACACTCACACACACACCATGTCACACTGTACACTCACACACACCATGTCACACTGTACACTCACACACACACCATGTCACACTGTACACTCACACACACGTCACACTGTGCACTCACACACACCATGATCACACTGTACACGCACACACACATTCACACACAGCATGCTCTGACACTGTAGTTCTACACACTCAGTACATTAACACAGAAATGCTGTCTCTCACACTCGTGTTCACAGAGGCTCACGCCCACACGCCCACACTTTTTCACACTCATGCAGTCACAGAAGCCTGAGGACGACAGAGCATCACCCAGACACAGAAGGAGACGAGAACTGGCAGCAGCAATCGTAGCAAGTTGATAATGCATTTCCTTCTCTTTCTCACCATCAGCAAGACAAAGGCTCGTGGGAAGTCCTGCATCCTGAGTAGAACAGGCAGCCTCGGGCCTAATTAGCACTGTGAGTCCTGCGCCTGCGCTTGTTCCGGCAAACCAGTGCTGACCGACTTCCTGCTGGCCATCAGGCAGGATATATTTTTAAAGCATTGTTTATCTTTATATGAAAGTCACATTTACAGAGAGAGAGACGTTTCATCCACTGGTTCACTCCGCAGATGGCTGCAGTGGCTGGAGCTGAGCCAATCTGAAGCCAGAAGGCAGGAGCTTCTTTCGGGTCTCCCATGGGAGTGGGAATCCAAGGCTTGAGCCAGCTTCTGCTGCTGTCCCGGGCATGTTACAGAGAACTGGATCAGAAGTGGAGTGGCCAGGGTTTGAACTCATGTCCATGTGGGATGCTGGCACTGTAGGCAGAAGCTTAGTCTACTGCACATGGTGCCAGGCCCACAGGGCAACATTTCAGTGCTAGAGACACGAACGGTCTCCTGCCCCGTTGCCTGCCCTTTTGTTCGGGAAGGTGTTGAAGCGGCATTTCTTTAACCCCACAGTTGCTGCAACATTTATCAAATGCGATGACCTCGTGCGTCAGAAGAAAGTGGCGGTCTGCTTTAGCCCGTGGCTCGGGCTGCCCTTGCAGAGCGCGGAGCTGGCAGCTGGGGCACAAGCAGCTGCCTGGGAGCAGGCGGCAGCAGGGGCCCCTTTACCTCGCCATCAGAGGCTGGCAGTGCTGCTGTCCGCGCACACTCCGTGCCCAGCCCCGTGGCGTCCAGCACGGCAGCCCTCGAAGGGAAGTCCGCAGCTGAGGATTAGCTCAGAACGACGGAGAGCGATGTGACAGACAACGTGTCAGGCATCGGCCTCGGGCGGAACTAGCCGGTCCCATATGCGGCTTCCCACGGCCTGGGTCCTGGGCGCCATGGCTGGACTCGGGGGCCTGTGGTCAGTGGGAGGGTGGGAGAGCTGATGTGGTGTGGCCTTCCTCCTGCAGGCCCATCTCGGGACAGAGAGCCGTGAGCAAGGGCCAGCCCCGCACACCTTCCACGTTGCTCCACGAAGCCCCGAGGCCAGGGCCCAGTGCGGAGGCACCGTGAGGGTCCCGGAGGGCGACTACTGGGGCCAGGCTCGCCAACAAAGAGCTCGGGCCACGATGGCGGCCACGAGGACGACACAGATGGGGCAGGGAGGCAGGAAGACGTGGGGACCGTGCCGGTGCGGGAGTTCCCGCGTGGCCAAGGCGCTCCTCGGGATGCCTCCCAGCCGTGTCCCAGAGCCTGGTCAAGTCCCAGCTCCTCTTCCTCGCCCCGTTCTCTTCTGATCTTCCTCTCCATGGGCAGCATGTGGAGCTCGAGTCCTGTGGTCCCTGCCGGTCCTGGGAGAGGCACACGGAGTCCAGGATCCCGGTTCCAGAGCCTGGCTGCTGCGGGCAGTGGGGGACAGGCCAGCCGACGGGACGGGCATGCCTTCTCCCCTCTACCGCGTTCCTCTCCCTCTTCACTCCCTCCCCCTTCTGTCTCTCTGATAAATAAAAAGTTGAAAACAAAAGGAACTTACTCGCAACAAAACCAATGAAATTGATAAACATCAGCGATCCTAAGCAACAAGAAGGAGCATGCGCAGGAGGGAGCCCAGCCCGATCACTCCGCGGGCGCAAACGTGGGCAGACGGGCATGACCGAGGAGCGGTGCTGAGGGCAGAAACAGATTTCAAACAATTCAATACTGGTGTCAAATGATTAAAATTTAATGAATGGTATTCCAAGCATGTGCCATGCGTATGAACTTCATTCCAATTAACTCGGACAAACGCATACAAGCGACGAGACCCATAGTCTAGGCAGACACGGCGTAATTAAAGCCACAGGCGGCGAGGCCTGGTGGGAGACGAGACATGTTGGGACTGACCTGGTGACACAGGGCCACCCCAAAGAGGCCAGCACCTGTTGTTGTCGCTCTGGGAAGTCGGGGAGGGAGACCGGCCACGGCCACCTTCCTGGGGCTGAGGCCACCTTCCTGGGGCTGGGGTCACCTTCCTGGGGCTGAGGCCACCTTCCTGGGGCTGGGGTCACCTTCCTGGGGCTGGGGCCACCTTCCTGGGGCTGGGGCCACCTTCCTGGGGCTGAGGCCACCTGTGATCATGTTGCCAAGGGCGGCACGTGCAGCGGGACAAAGAGCTGTGAGCCCAGCTGGAGCGAGGCAAAACCTCCCATCACAATGAGCTGTGCAGCCTGGGTGGAGGAAGAGGCAAGGACAGCAGGCAGAAGGCGCGAAGGAGAAACAGCCTCCTGGCTTTGACAAGCGCTGAGCGAGCTGCCGTTCACGTAACAGTGAGCTCCGCCCGTGGCAGGGTGCGGGTCTGCCGGTTCTTCCCCAGCCGATGCATAGAACTTTCCACTGTTTCCGGAAGCTACCTCGGGCCCCTTTACTAAAGACCCCCACTTACTCTCACTGGCCATTTTCTTCTCCCTGTAGCTCCACTTCCCTGGCGAGTCGTGCAGATGCAAACCCATGTGTAGGCTTTGAGCCCGGCCTGTGGAGGGGAGGGTCAGCCGAGGAGGGGACCCTCAGCGTAAGGTGCCCGTGCCTTGTGACAGCAGCCTGAGGGCCTCACGTGCTGGCCTGAGTGAGAGCAGAGCGCTGTCGGGGATCTGCGGCTGTGCCTTCCACGGGGCAGGAACCGCCTCCTGCAGCCTGTGACGGCTCCTGAAGGAGGGACGTGGGGAGTGCAGGAAGATGCACGGAAGGTGTTTCATCTAGAATATATTAAAATCCTCACACTGTAGTGACAGAGCCAATTTTGAAAAGAGACAACAACTTCAGTGTCAACAAGGAAGGTCAGGGCAAGGTTCCCACATGGTCAGATGTTGGGGGATGGGATGAAAATCCGCACGTGCCTGGGCTCATACCAAGGGCCGGAGAGGGCTGGGCTCGCGGGAGAGGCATTCTTACTATTGGGAACTTGTGGCACAGGGCTGTGGACAGTCACGGGCGTCTGTTTGAAAGGCACAGTTAGAGAGAGCAAGAGCGAGCAGGAGAGGGATCTTCAATCCAGCGGTTTATTCCCGACGCCGCAGCAGACCACCGAGCCAGAGCCAGGAGCCTGGAATTCCACCTGGATCTCCCACGTGGGCGCCGGGCACCAGGCCTTGGGAGCCGTCTCCTTCTGTCAGACTCGGGGAGAGTCCAACCCCGTGGAAGGGGAGCCACTCCGTTCGGCAAGACAAGTCACAAAGCAGAGGCTGCAATAAGCATGAGGATTTTATTGAGCATTCGCGAATGGGCAACAGAATAATCTGGAGGCACCCAGGACTCTGCGCGCCCCAAGCAGGTTAAAGCACCTTTTTAAAGGACAAAACCGCAAACTTCGCATAACAGCTAGCATTTTACTTTAAGATTAGACAGCGCCAGGGCTCCCTTGGCTTGGCATAACAGTCTGCACTTTCTCAGACTGTTGTGCCTCCCTTTCTTATCCACTACATTCTTGTGTTGGCCTTGCTGCTCCGGCCTTGCTACCTTATCTCTTTTATTCCTGCAGCTGCCTTGTTCATGTCTGGGAAACTGAAACTTTTACTTGCTTCATGAAATAACTTTTCTATATTTATTCCAACATGGCTCTACTCTTGCTCAGCAGAAAGCAATATACAGAAGCAAAATCAAGCGGTTATTCTAAGCTCTTACATTCCCCCCTTTTCTTTTAGGACATATTTTTATCTTAAAATATAAGCATTAGCAGGCATTTTCTTGTACAGGCTGATATTGGCTGGTTAATACAAAGGCTTGAATTATTGACAATCTTTCTTTTATGAACTGTAATAAACGATTAATAATGCAAGGTCCTATAGTTAAAAGGAGTAATAACAATATTAAAGGTCCTGTTATAGCAGAGATGAGAGTGGTTAGCCAGGGTGATTGAGAGAACATGTTTTCAAACCATCCTTGTTGGGCTGACAATTCTTTCTGTCTTTTATTTAATCTGTCTCTGAGTCGATCTAAAGTCTCAGTCACACTTCCAGTTTGGTCAGCATAGAAACAACACTCTTCCTTTAAGGCGGCACACAATCCTCCTTCTTTTAACAATAGCAAATCTAGTCCTCTCCTGTTTTGCAACACTACTTCAGACAGAGAGGTAAGAGACTCTTTTAGTCCTCTGACTGACTGTTCTAAGGCCTGTAGGTCTTCATTCATAGCCTGGTGTAGTCCTTGGTAATAGTCTGTTCTCGACAGAGCAGTTGTTCCGGTGGCTATGCCAGCGGCTATTCCTCCTGTACCTAGTAACACGGCTAGAGTAATAGAGACAGGCTCTCGCTTGGCCCTCCCTGGATGTTCATAGGCAGCTAGAACAGTCTCAGACGGAAGGTACGTTATTCTTGGCCACAATTGAACAAGCACACAGAAGTCTTTGGTGACGTTAAGAACCTGTGCCGAGATACAAGGGGTCAGACCAGTGTTGCATGCCCAATAGATTCCATTAGGTGGTGTCAGATAATAATTTCCTATGGGGACATTTAAACTCTGGTTACATAGTCTAGATTTTATTGAATTTTTTCCTATACATAGACCTGTCCCACTGACATCAGTAAGTGTCAGTTCGTGCCCCATGGTGCTGCAGACTGGAGATGGGCTACTGGAGTTTGTTAAGTTTGCTATTGTGGCTATTCCTTCATAATAAGGTGGACTGGGGTTGAGGCATAGCCAGCAGTCCCTGGCTCTTTCGGGATCTGAAGAGTTAAGGGCTAGAAAGGCTCCTTTAACTAGATTTATGAGTCTTTCTCCCGTGCTTTTCGGCACTATAGTGGGGGAGGCCGGCGTGCTAGTTTGTGGAGCTACTGTGTGGTTGAAAAATGGCCTTATAGGATGTTGAGGCTGTTGTCCTGACGGCCCGCGGAAGGCAGGCAGGACATGATTTGGGCCAATAGACTGGGTGGCTAAGGGCTCTATTTGGCGGGAGATAGTGAACAGAGTAAATGCGTCCCACCCTTCTCTGTAGAGCCGCAATCCCCATACTCTCGTCTTAGTCCAGTCAGCTTTTTCTCCGGCCGAGGTGAAAGAAATAACTAAAGGATTGCATCTGCCACCTGGGGTGCTCCCCGTTCTTCTAGTCACACTATCAAAGCATGGTCCGCAGTTTTGTTTCCAGTGACCCTGGCCGCAAATCCAGGGCCCTGTCCCTGAATACCCTGGAATATTTTCCCTCTTGACTGAGATGAGGTCAGTTGATTCAGTGAGCCAATACACTGTCCCGGTAGTTTCACAACCCCAACTAGCACAGTATCCTTCTTCGGCCCCCCTACACTGCTTGATTTTGGCTTTGCTACGGTCACTCCCCGGACAAACGTAAAAAGGTCTGGCTCTGGTGTGTAACCGTCCCAGTACATTCTCACAGCCATACGCGTTCCGGCTACTAGTTCCTGAATAGGGAAAACCGGGAGTCTCCCATGCTCCTCCAACTAGGTCACATAGATCAAAATATAGTTTGGGGAAGGTAACATCAACCGGTCCAATGACTTGAGTGCTATTTATGACTGTTCCTATTTCCAAACTACTGATTTTCCAGGTAATTTTATGGGGGGTATGTGGGTTATAATCTGACAATGAACATGGAAGAGATAGCAAAGTCAAAAAGTACATTTTTAAGCACGAGTCAGTCTTATCTTTAGAGGATTTGGGGTTCGTTGAAGTTTCCATTCTGGTTCCTGGTCAGTCCCTGTAGTCCCTGTTGCTGGCTGATCCTTGGCGTGCTTCACGTGGGAGGCATGTACCCAGGCAGCAATTCCGTCGACTTTCAGGGCGGTTGGAGTAGTCAGTAGGACGGTAAAGGGTCCTTTCCACCGTGGTTCCAAGGTTTTTGCCTGGTGTCTCCGGACATACACCTGGTCTCCTTCCTTGAACGGGTGAGGGCACGGTGGAATGTCTTTGTCCTTGTAGGCCTCTGCAAGCGGTTTCCAGATGTACTCTCTCACTGCTCTGAGAGCCTGGAGATGCGCCTGTAACGAGGGTGGATGGGGGAACATGGTAGGATCAAAATCACAGAAAGAGGATGCCGGTGGTGGGCTTCCATATAATATTTCAAAGGGAGTCAGCCCATGATATGCAGGAGTGTTGCGCACTCGAAAAAGGGCCATAGGGAGGAGTCGTACCCAGTCTTTTCCGCCAGTCTCTAGGGCTAATTTAGTCAAGGTCTCTTTTAGAGTTCTATTCATTCTTTCTACCTGGCCTGAACTCTGGGGTCGATAAGCACAATGTAGTTTCCAATTGATCCCCAAACTCTTGGCCACCCCCTGACTTACCTGGGAGGCGAAAGCGGGACCGTTATCTGACCCTAATACTTGCGGCAATCCGTACCGGGGAAAAATTTCTTCAAGGAGTTTTTTAACGACTGTCGTGGCCGTTTCATTCTTCGTGGGGTAGGCTTCTACCCAGCCTGAAAAGGTGTCTACAAAAACTAAGAGATATTTATAACCATACAGTCCCGGTTTTACTTCAGTAAAGTCTATTTCCCATTGTATTCCCGGTCGGTGTCCTCGGGCACGGGCTCCTTGGGGGAGTTTTAGTCGCCCTGCGTTTACCTGGGCACAAGGCTTGCATTGGTCCACTGTAATTTGAGTAAGAAACTGCAGGTCAGGAGTTATAAACGGGCATTTTTCATTTGCAAGTAGAGCGTGCATTTTTCTCCGGCTCAAATGAGTGAGGCGGTGGAGGTGTTCAATGATTTCAGTAGCTATGCGATAGGGCAGGATGACCTTGTCTCCTTTTTTCCATGCTTTGCACTTAGCATCCCATTCCCCTTCGAGTTCTTTAATGAGAGTTCTGTCATTATCAGTATATTTAAATGGAACTCCCCAGTTGCAGACTATGTCATCTGTGTTTTGCCTGGTCTCTTCGGGTCCCATTTTTGAGTTTATTTCCAGGGGTAGGGCTGAGATTGGCTCAGTGGCAACAGTTTTTGCAGTCTGGTCTGCCAGTCTATTTCCTCTAGCTACTGGATCTGTTCCTTTTTGGTGGCCCGGACAATGAATAATGCTCAGTCTTTTTGGAAGGAATAGTGCCCTCAAGAGGTTTATTATCTCTTGCTTGTTCTTTATTTCTCGTCCTCCTGAAGTTAAGAGGCCCCTTCTGCGATAAATCTCACCGTGCACATGGGCCGTAGCAAAAGCATACCTACTGTCAGTATAGATGTTTGCTACTTTTCCCGCCGCCAGTTCTAGAGCCTTTGTGAGGGCTATTAGTTCAGCTCGCTGGGCCGACGTCCCTGGCTCTAGGGCACTGGCCCAGACTATGGAGTCATTGTTACTCACCACTGCTGCTCCTGCCCGCCGAGTTCCTTCGGTGACATAGCTGCTGCCATCTGTGAACCAGGTTACCTCCGCATCTGGTAGAGGCTGGTCAGTTAGATCTTCACGAGTCCCATGAACTTCGGCCAGAATCTGGGAGCAGTCATGGGGGGCATCCTTGGCCGTTCCCGGCTCCGGCAATAGGGAAGCGGGATTGAGCGTAGCAACTGGTCCAAAAGTAATGCGTTCAGGAGCTAAGAGCAAAGCCTGGTAGTGAGTCATGCGGGCGTTTGAAAGCCACCTGTCTGGCGGTTGGCGGACAACCGACTCCACAGCATGTGGAGCTATTATTGTGACTTTCTGTCCCAGGGTTAGTTTGTTTGCGTCCCTGAGCAGGGTCGCAATAGCTGCTACCATGCGCAGGCAAGGGGGCCACCCTGAGGCCACTGGATCTAGTTTCTTTGAAAGGTAGGCAACCGGTCGTCTCCAAGGGCCTAGGGACTGAGTCAATACTCCTTTTGCAATTCCTTTGGCCTCATCCACATACAGTGTGAATGGTTTTGTGACATCAGGCAGTCCCAGGGCCGGTGCCGTTAGGAGGGCCTCTTTAATGCAATCAAAAGCCCGTTGTTGTTCTTTTCCCCAGATGAAGGAGTTTTTTTCCTTCGTTAACATGTACAAGGGAGCGGCCAGCTCCGCAAACCCAGGTATCCACAGCCGGCAGAATCCTGCCGTTCCCAGAAACTCACGTACCTGCCGGGAGTTCCTTGGGACTGGTATAGACGCCACCGCAGCTTTCCTGGCTTCAGTTAACCATCTTTTTCCTCCCTTTATGATATATCCTAGGTAGGTTACCTCCTCTCTGCATATCTGGGCTTTCTTGGCAGATGCCCGATATCCTAGGGCTCCCAATTCACGTAACAGGGCCCTTGTCCCTTCTAGGCAGGCCTCCCTGGTAGGTGCTGCCAGTAAGAGATCATCTACATATTGGAGGAGAGTCAGATTGGGGTTACTTAATCTGAATGCCACCAAGTCTTGATGTAGGGCCTCATCAAAGATGGTGGGGGAATTTTTGAAGCCTTGTGGCAATCGAGTCCAAGTCAGTTGCCCACTTACTCCATGTTCTGGATCTCTCCATTCAAAAGCAAATAAAGGTTGGCTCGCCGGGCTCAGTCTTAAACAAAAGAAAGCATCCTTTAAATCCAGGACACTATACCACACATGGGAGGGAGGCAAGGAGCTGAGAAGGTTATAAGGATTTGGCACAGTGGGGTGTATGTCTTCTACATGACTATTTATTTCTCTTAGGTCTTGGATGGGCCTATAGTCATTTGTCCCCGGCTTCTGCACTGGTAGGAGAGGAGTGTTCCACGGTGACCGGCAAGGAATGAGAATTCCCAGTTTTAGCAGTCTGTGGATGTGGGGGCGAATGCCCTCAAAGGCTTTCCTTGACATGGGATATTGTCTGATAGCCACGGGCCCTGCAGTAGCCTTTAGTTGTACGTGTACTGGTGGCTGTTGCACTGACAATCCCATGCCACCCGTCTCTGCCCATGCATCTGGGAATTCAGTCATCCATCTCTCCATGTAAGGTGGGGTTCCCTCTTTGTTAGTTTCAGTTTCTCTAATGGCCTCATGTAGTTTGTATTCATTTTCTAATTTTAGGGTTAAGATGCACAGGGATTGCCCCTGAGGCCCAGTCACTGTTATTTCTTGTTCTTTAAAGTTGATTTGTGCTCCCAGTTTTGTCAGAAGATCTCGTCCCAATAGGGGGTAGGGACAATCAGGCACATGTAAAAAGGAGTGAGTGACAGTACCTGTAGCCAAGTCGACCCGCCGATCAGTCGTCCACCGGTACGCGCGTCCTCCTGTGGCTCCCTGTACCCACGAGGTCTTCTGGCTCATAGGTCCATCAGTAGTTGTCAAAACTGAATGTTGAGCCCCGGTGTCTACTAGAAACGTGGTGGGCTTGCCTCCCACAGACAGAGTTAGCCTGGGCTCAGGGGGAGGCTCCTGGCCCCGACTGGCCTAGTCTTCTAAAGTCAAAACTGAGGTCTGCCTTTTCTTGTTTCTAGGATTGTTGGGACAATCCTTTGCCCAATGGCCGTTTTCTTTACAGTAAGCACATTGATCTTTCCCTAAACGGTTTCGCCGCTCACCTCCCTGTTCTCTAAACTGTCTCCCTATCTCAGTTCCCTGGGATGTTATTTGCTTGTTATGAACTACAGTGGCCAAGATACGGCTCAGTTCTTTATTCCGTCGCTTATCTCTCTTATCCTCTCTTTCTTCCTGCATCTTTCTTAGTCTCTCTTCTCTCTCTTCCGGAGTCTCTCTCTTATTGAAAATTTTATCTGCCTCTTTTACTAAGTCCTGCAAGCTATAATTCTGTAATCCTTCTAGTCTTTGTAACTTATTTCGAATGTCTGGTGCTGACTGTCCTATGAAAGCCATAATCACTTCCCCCTGCCTATCTTCACTTGCCGGATCAAACGGTGTATACATGCGGTATGCTTCCATTAGTCTTTCTAAGAATCCCGCGGGAGTCTCCCCAGCTCCCTGTAGAACTGCTCTTACCTTAGCCAAATTAGTGGGTCGCCTTCCGGCACCCTTGAGACCTGCCAACAGAGTCTGGCGATAAAGACGGAGACGCTCCCTACCATTTGGAGTGTCGAAGTCCCAATTAGGTCGGACAAGGGGGAACACTTCATCAATTTCGTTTGGAAGTTGGGTGGGCTGCCCATCAGCCCGAAGGACATTCTTTCTGGCCTCCATCAGCACCCGTTGGACTTCTTCTGTGGTCAGTAGAGTCCGTAACAGCTGCTGACAATCATCCCAAGTCGGCTGGTGCGTCAACAAGATGGACTCGATGAGACCTGTTAATGCTTGGGGGTCTTGGGAGAAAGGAGGGTTATGAGTTTTCCAATTATACAAATCAGAGGCAGAGAAAGGCCAATACTGGACCTGCCCCCCTACAATTCTCAAGGGGTACAACTGTGAAGACCATTGCCCTTCTCCTCTTTCTCCCTCCTCCAATTGAGCCCTGCGTAGCCGCAACCTGGTATGGATTGGGGATCTGGCTTCAGGCTGTTCATTTACAGTGGTGTCTGGAGAGCCCATCTCCCCCGGTCTTCCTCTTGGGGGTTCTCCTTCAGGTTGATGCTCCTGGGGATAAGGTGGAGGAAGTTCAGAGGTCATTAATAGGTCCGTCTGACTATCATCGGGCAGGACAGGCTTAGGTCGAGGACGAGTAGCTTCCAGCGGACAGAGGGAAACAAGAGCAGAGGGTTGGGGTAGGGGCGGAGCTGAAGGCGCCGGCAATTCTGGAGAAGGAGGAGGAGGAGGACAGGGTGCGATGAGAAAAGGTTGAGCCCACGGCGGGGGATTAACCACGAGGTCCTCCCATACCAAGATATACGGTAACTGGTCGGGATGCCCCGATGGCCCGGTCGCCCTGATGAGGCCTTTCACCTGCAAAATAGTGGTTAGATTAAAGGTGCCGCTGGGCGGCCATGAAGCAGCGAGAGTCGGCCACTCAACGGTGCAGAGAGTTTTCCATTTCTTGCGACGCACTTCCACTGATAGGGTGTGAGCGCTGGTGGAAACGTCAGGCCAATGTTGGAGAGTAAGACTTAGGGGAGAAGACTCAGCCTGACCCATATTCAAAGACAAGAGACTACACACAATTACAAAACAAACAAATGACACAAACAGGATTCGCGCGATACAAGATTTCCAAAGGGCCCAATACAAGATACAAGACGGCCGCTCTGGGGCGACCATACAAGGCCAGACGAGGGTGACGTGATCTTCACCCTGTCTCCAAAGCACTGGAGCGTCCTCCAGCGTACAAGTTCAAATCAAACCGGTACCGTTCAAAGACTGGGGAGGACAAGGACAGAACAGAACAACACACAAAAATACACACTTTCCGATCGGTCTTACCTCCCCCTGCTAGGATGTTGCTTGCCGAGGACGGTTGCTCCTGTTTCCCGGCCAATGCACCAAAATGTTAGACTCGGGGAGAGTCCAACCCCGTGGAAGGGGAGCCACTCCGTTCGGCAAGACAAGTCACAAAGCAGAGGCTGTAAAAAGCATGAGGATTTTATTGAGCATTCGCGAATGGGCAACAGAGTAATCTGGAGGCACCCAGGACTCTGCGCGCCCCAAGCAGGTTAAAGCACCTTTTTAAAGGACAAAACCGCAAACTTCGCATAACAGCTAGCATTTTACTTTAAGATTAGACAGCGCCAGGGCTCCCTTGGCTTGGCATAACAGTCTGCATTTTCTCAGACTGTTGTGCCTCCCTTTCTTATCCACTATATTCTTGTGTTGGCCTTGCTGCTCCGGCCTTGCTACCTTATCTCTTTTATTCCTGCAGCTGCCTTGTTCATGTCTGGGAAACTGAAACTTTTACTTGCTTCATGAAATAACTTTTCTATATTTATTCCAACATGGCTCTACTCTTGCTCAGCAGAAAGCAATATACAGAAGCAAAATCAAGCGGTTATTCTAAGCTCTTACACCTGACTCTGAGACGCCTGGGCCTGCCACCCTCTCTCCTGCCTGTCCTGTCCTCCCACCCTGCTGACCTGCGTGGGGAAGACACCAGCCATGTGCCTGAAGTAACTGGGTGTGTGGTCCAGGACTCCCGCCTCGGCCTGCCAGGGTTTGTCGCATGGTCACTTGGAGGTGTTACCAGCGGCCGTCATCACCCTTGCCAGGCACATGGTTCAGGCTGGGGGATGAACTTCCTGGTGATTCTGTATGGGCACAACATGCATAAGATGGGCATGTGGTGTGTGTTACATGTGTGATATGTGATGTGTAAGAACATACATATGACATATGTGGGGTGAGGTGCATGTGTGGGGTGTGTGATATGTAAGGTGTGTGTGTGGGGTGTGTATGTGGTGTGTGGGGTGTGGTATGTGTGATGTATGGGGTGTATTGGGGTGAGTGTCTGTGGTTGGGACAGCTGCTCTTCCTGTGTCAAGCACTGCGCCTGCGTGCCGGGTACCCCGGGGGCCTGAGTGTCCTGCCGCAGCCCGGCCGGGGACAGCTCCTGCTCACCTCATCTCCCACGTCGGCCCTGCCGTCACTGCCCGGTGTCCCGGTGAGCAGATGAAGCCGGGCTGGGCGCTAGTGGGTGGAGCCGGGTTGGAGGTGGGGCCTGGTACCTCTGCTCCCCCGGGGGGCCCACGTCTCGGGGTGGACCCCCCGCTGCAGGGAAAGCGAGTCTGTTGGCCTGGCGGTGTGAGGCTGTTTGTACATTAATTGTGACACGATATTTATGACAGCGAGGAAGCTGAGGCAGCAGCGAGACACCGCGTCGTGAAAACAGCGTTCCTCCTGTCACCAATTGTGAAGCTGCCTTGTTTTCTCTCACACACCAGCGCACATCCCCCGGGCATGCGCAGGTGCCAGCACACATCCTCCCGGGCACGCGCAGGTGCCAGCGCACATCCTCCGGGCACGCGCAGGTGCCAGCGCACATCCCCCGGGCAGGCGCAGGTACCAGCACACATCCCCCGGGCACGCGCAGGTGCCTCACCTGTGCACCTTTGGGCCTCTGCCTGGTGTCTGACGCTGCAGCTTCCTGACTGAGGCGGGCTGTGGTGACCTCGCTTCTTGGTTTTATTGGTGATTGGCATGAAAATGTGCCTGGAGGACAGGGAGGTGAAGCTCCCGGCGGCCTGGAGCTCCGCCTCACCTCACCTCGCCCCGCCCACCTCACTTCACCTCCCCCACCTCACTTCACCTCCCCCACCT